TTTGTCTTGTCACTTCTACATATTTATCATTCTTTAAGATGTTATATAAGGAAAAAAAAAAGTTATATGTTTGAGTTGCTCATCACTGAGTTTCTCCCATGTGTATAATCACTACACAAGTTAATAAACTCTGTTTTTCTCTTGTTAATCTGACTTTTGTCAGTTTAATTTCCAGAGCTCCAGTCACAGAACCTAAGAGGGTAAAGACTTTTCCCCCTCCCCTACAGTGTGTATGTATGTTTGTATGTATATATGTGATAACCGTGTATATGCAGAGGGACATTGATCTCATCTATTGACTCAGCAAGGCTTTATGGAGGAGGCAACAAGTCTCAGGATAGATGGCTTATTAGAATAGGAGGAAATGAGAAATTTGAGGGAATCCTCAGGCAAGAGAGGGATGAACATCAGAAGTTACGTCTGAGATCCAGTCTCTCTCAAGTGGGGTTTCTCACCTGAACCATATAATACAGAAAATGATCTGCATAACTATTTTCTCAACTCTTCCAAAGGTGTTGTTACAGAAAGAGAGTGGTTCAATGTCCTTTAGGAGTCATTTTCAAAAAAAAAAAAAAGTATACTGTAACCTTCCTATACAGCTATTAAAAAAGATGAAGAGGGCTAGTATATAACATGGAAGAATATCTGTGATTTAATGGTAAATGCAAAAGAGAATGTCTTGAATAGTAAGCATAGAACATCCCATTTTATTTTTAGAAATCCTATGTACAAATACGTAAAAGGAAAACAAATCCTGGAAGAATCTACATCAAACTGTGGAAGAAGCCACCCTTGGACAATGAGGTTTGAGTGAAAGTAATGGGTGAGCAAGGACAAATTTTTACACTTTATTTTTACTCCTCAAATGTCTTCAGTGAGCATCTGCTTCTTTTGCAATTAAGAGCACTTTTTTTTTTCTCGAATCACTAGTTGATATATGACTCAAAAAACTAAGATAGGAAAACTTACCAGGCATACGGTAGTGAGAGAAGAAAGTAGTAGAAGTAAGCAGAGGAGTGATTACAGGTGTTTGGAGAAGCGCTGAGTGATCAGAAAGTATGCAGGCTGAAATATTACGCGCTGGCAGTGGTCCAGAGACAGGCTGGAGCTGGATGGGTCGTCCAGGAGAAGGATTTGAGTGCTCTCGAAGATTGCCTCTCATTGAGTGCAGGGAGTAGCCACCTGCCTCCGTAACTTCATGCCCTGGATGAGGAGGTACAATCAAGGTCTCCTGGCCCCTCATATCAGTAACCGGATCAGAGCATCCCAAATGTCAGTCATTCTTGTAACATCTTCATGATGGGTACCATACCTTCACAGGAACTCTCCAATCATTCCTTTCTAAAATCTAAATAAATCTGGCTCCATTCTGAGCAATAACACCCATGAAATGAGTTTCTATGTTAGTTATATTTTCTACTTCACATTATCTATTAAAATAATTTTAATGCACTTAATCTGTATGCCATCTAAAATTGTCGGAGCATATTTTAGGAAATACCAAGTTATGATACATATTAGATATGTTATATTACATTATTATCATTGAAGTCATGCTACTTAGAAGAGGAAGGGGGGGCTGGGGGGACCTGGGTGGCTCAGTTGGTTGAGCATCCGACTCTTGATTTCACCACAGGTCATGATCTCGGAGTTGTGAGATCAAGCACCGTGTCAGGCTCTGTGCTGAGCGTGGAGTCTGCTTAAGGTTCTCTTTCTCCCTCTCCCTCGGTCCCTCCCCCATCCTGGCTGTGCATGCTCTCTTTCCCTCTCATTCTCTCTCCAAAAAAAAAAAAAAGAAGAAGAAGAAGAAGAAGAAGAGGAAGACAGGGGTATCAGGTACTTAGACAGAAAGCATCTGTATTTAAAACAATGTTGATAACTGGAAAAATAATCATTAATCTGCAGACTGAGTACATGACAGTCTTCATGTGTATTAGTGAAAGCCCCACTAGGGAAGAGGAAGGGGTGCTTGGAATAGGACTTTACAGGAATTAGACCTGACAAAACTACAGATGGAGCTGAGAGGTAAAGGTCTGATGAGGAGAGCTGGAGGTTCAGAAGAATCCCCTAACCATCCCTCCTGAAGCATCGGTGCAGATGGACAATTTGGAGCTTGCAAGGACCCAGGAAGCCAGGCATATCCAGCTAATGGAAAGGAACCACAGTGGAGAGCTGGTGGGGAAGTCTGCTGTCTCCCCATCTGGTGGTGGGCCAGGGGTGCTGTTGGTTAGCACGGCCAGTGGGAAGGAAGAGCTGAACTCAGAACAGGGAAATATGAAGCAACTGGCGGTAACTGACAGCTCAGCATCTGTTTCTCTCAGAGCATGCTGTGGTCAACTTTCTTTTTTTGACCAACTCAAACTCGGAACCACACAAGGAAGGGGATTCTGGGAACTAGAGTTTCAGCTAAGACACGCTGACACATCATACAGCCAGCATACCATGAGAAGAACATGTAGGGCTAAGGAACAGGAGATGGAAAGTTCTGACTCAAGGCAAGAATGGGGACCAGAGGTGCAACCATAATGCTGTGGTTAAGACAATGAACCTAAGTCTAGGGTCACAATGAGTTACCTGCTAAGGGGATGTTTGGCTCATTCTTCGGGCCGGCCTGAACTTAAAAGGACAGAAATCCAGACGTTGTTAGACCTGAACACAACACAAGCAGCTGACAGCCACCTGGCTCCACTCCTCCTCTGCACGCATTTATGTTCACTGCATTACCCTGCAGGACTGTGAGTTTGTAACCTTGATGTTCATGCACAGGCAATATTTTAGGTCATCTGGACATTCATCTGACAGGTTTTCAATGAGCACCTACATACCAAACACTGTTCCAGAAGCAGAGGATACAGCAGTGAACTCAGTAGATCAAATCTCTGCTCTCCTGGGAAGCTGTGGGGGACAGGTAATGGCCAATACATGTACCCACTCTATGTGGGATGGAGATGAGAGTGCTGAAGTAAGGGCAGGGTACAGGTCTAGAAAGGGGCTGGGATGTTCTTTTTAGATAAGGTGATCAGGGAAGCCCCCCCGAGGAGGATGTGGATGAAGGATGGAGTCATGCAGCTCTCTGGAGGGAAAGTCTTCCAGACACAGAAACAGCATGTGAGACGAGATGCTTCAGGTGTTGGGAGGAACCACAGAGTCAGGCATGACTGTGGCAGCAAGGGCCAGGAGGAGAGTGATAGGGCATGAGGTCTGAGGCCAAGGAAGCCTTTGAATTTCATCTCATTCGAAGTGGAAGGGCCCTGAGGGTTTGAGCAGCAAAGTGACCTGCTCTGAATATGAGGGAAATGGAGTGGCTCTTCCCCAGTCGGAGCTGACTGGAGTTTTGTGGATGGTTTATACCTGAATAAATAAGTAGAGCGAGAGAAGAAAATATGAGTGATAATTGAACTCTTAACTGAAGGAAAGCACTGAAGAATTGAGACAGCTCATTTTTCTTAATATAGATTATTTTGTTTTAAAACTATGCCCTGTAAGTAGCCAAGGGTCTTATCTGTCAGAAACTTGGCCTCTGGCTTTAGTGTGGGTCCACTGCTCGTCTAGAGGCCAGGCCCCAACATGGGGCCTGAGACAGCTGGGCAGTGGCATCATGTCAGCTTCCTGCTCTACCTGCTCTAGTCTCTCCCCATGGTGGAAGCAGATGAAAGGAGGGATTGTTCCCTGAGACGGGGGTCTAACTGGCGACAAGGAAAGGCAATGATGGAAGAAATGTGCTAAGTCAGAAGAGGACTTAGCATAGGGAACAGGTTGTGTGAGTGTCATTTCAACTTCAACTTCTATTTCATGGCTGAATGCCAGTCCTCATGGTCATAAAGTATTAGAGCTGGAACAAAATAGTTTAGAGAACTTCAAGTCCTATAAACGATCAAACTGTGCTGAGGAGGCCTAGGATTCCCCAGAGGTGACTCAGAGACAGTTTGGAGAGGGGATGTGAGGGAAGGCTGGCGGGTCTCCTCCGTCCTGACCTCCATCCCACTGTTCCCATCTAGGTTAGACTAAATGTTTATCTAACGTTATTCTTGAAGGAACGGTTTTGCAGGTAAAAAATAAAAGTTTTGAAAATCACAATCAAATCCAGTTTAATCCTCTCATTGCGGAGATGAAAAAGGGCTCAGAGATTAATTACAAATGTTCTGGACAGCCCTTCTCAAACCTGGCCTCCTCATCTCTTGTTGCCTAGCACCGATGTTATTTAATGAGCACTTACTACGAGTCAGTCACTTGACTGAATTTGTACAGTATTTCTCTCATTAATCCTCCAATAAACCTTTGAAGTAGGTACTAACGGTCCTATTAATGAGAAAATTGAGATTTAGTGAAGTTAAGTCGTGTTTTAATGTTTCACAGCTAAAGAGTGGAAAAGACAAGATACAAACCCAGGCCAACCTAATGACACCCAAGCTATAACTCATAAACGCTATGCTATCCTTAAAACAAACCAAACCAAGCCAAACTACCAGCCAAAGTGATTCTCATTATCATCCAAAAAAATCTGTTAAAATGTTTAGAACAGCCATAGAGGCTAATGTAACATTTAGAGAGCTTTTAGTATTTTATTAAATATTCTTTATATAGTGTCCGCTATAAGCAGACCACTCTTATAGGGGACTTACAAATATTAACTCACTTAATGTTTCCAATAGCTCTAAGAGGGTGTTTCTGTCAATAGTCCCGATCTGCAGACGAGAAAACCAAGGCACAGAAAAATTTTAAAAATTTAAAAATTTGTCCCTTACTGGTAGAGGAGGGATACGAACCTATCAAATGCTACACATAAAACGAAGTAATTCAGGAGACAGGCTACTTTCCAACCTGTGCACTCTTCAATCCGTACTTCCTAGGTCACCGCAGAAGAGAAATGAACGTGACAGGCTTCACGCGCCAGAGCCGGATGTGCCGGCATTACTTCCTCTCACCCCCCATTGGCTGGGACCCAGTCACATGACCACAATTAACTACAAGGGAAACCCGGAAATGAAATCAGTGCGCGGAGGAGGAAGAGGAAAAAGTCGGTTGCGTCTAACAATCCCTTCTCCTATGGGGAAGGACACAGTAAGTGATATAAAAATATTCACTTGGAGGGGAAAAAAAAAAAGCCAATTTCTGTATTTAGTTTTTTTTTTAATTACACATATAGGAGGGCTAAATGAATATAGGTGGTGAGTTCCTTTGGCAAATGGCATTTTTTGAGTGGCCTCGTGCCGCAGGACGGTTCACAGAATCGACTGCTTTGTGCCTGTGCCAAGGGTAGGCAGTGTGGGAAGGCGGGGAGCCTCGCCTTTCTTCCCCCACCCCTCCTGCCATGTGGTGTGTACCCGTATTCCTTCCCTCTCAGCCCGTCTTTCCTTCACAGGCTTGTTTTGGTCCCCTCAGACCCGATTTAGGCGTGAAGCCGGGCAGGGTCCCCTCAACTCCGGTGGCTCTGGAGCAGCAAGAGAAAGAAGCTGTTCGCTGGGGCAGAGAAAGCTGGGGACAGACCCGTGCCCCGCTACCCTCAGCCCCAACACCTGCCAGCTCCAGTTGACCCGGGACAGCCCTGCTGCTCTGAACCTCAGTTTCCCCGCTGGGTACATCCGGTTTCCACCAGGTGTTCTCCCAGAGTCTGAGAAGAAAGTCCTATCGCATGTGGGTGATAGGAGCTATTTCCGGGGCCTGGGAGGATGAAAATCCAGGCTACTTGGGGTAAGAGGTGGAACACCTCAGAAGGTGGCAGAACAAAGTGATGACTCAGGGATAAGTGGGCCACAGAAAAGAAGTGTTGACCCTTCCCCAGCGCACACAGATGCCCCAAAGCCACTAAAGCACACAGGCTGCCGGGCTGAGCAGGGAATGAGGGCCCTAAGGGAACACCCTGGGGCAGGCACACTCCCACCCTTTGGGGACCAGGGAAGCACCTGGAGGTCCTGGTGGGCGCAGGGGTGAACCAGGGAGCCCTGGCCCAGTCCAGCCCCAGCTGCTGCCTTGTAGGAATTTGGGGCCATGGCTGCAGGAGTACTAATTTTTCTTTTTTTTTCTTTATTTAAATTTAATTTAATTAACATATAGTATATTATTAGTTTCAGAGGTAATTTAGTGATTCATCAGTTGCATATAACACCCAGTGCTCATTACATCCCATGCCATCTTTAATTCCCATCACCCAGTTACTCCATCTCCCACCCACCCCCCGCCCTTTCAGCATCCCTCAGTTTGTTTCCTAGAGTTAAGAGTCTCTTATGGTTTTCCTCCCTCTCAATTTTCATCTTATTTTATTTTTCCTTCCCTTCCCCTATGTTCATCTGTTTTGTTTCTTAAATTCCACATATGAGTGAAATCGTGGGATATTTGTCTTTGATTTATTTTGTTTAGCCTAATACCCTCTAGTTCCATCCAAGTCATTGCAAATGGCAAGATTTCATTCTTTTTGCAGAATACCTGTTTTTCAAAAGGAATGGAAAATCGGGACTTTTTTTTTTTTTTTTAAAGATTTTATTTATTTGACAGAGAGAGACACAGTGAGAGAGGGAACCCAAGCAGGGGGAGTGGGAGAGGGAGAAGCAGGGCTCCATCCCAGGACCCTGGGATCACGACCTAAGCCGAAGGCAGACACTTAATGACTGAGCCACCCAGGCACCCTGGAAAATTGGGACTTTCTGTGACTCTTCATTCTAAATTGCTGATATCTGCTTTAAACCATTTAAAAAACACTACAAGTTAAACAAAACATGTGCACAGGCCAGAATGACCCCAGGCGGACAGTGTGTGGCCCGGGATTAAGTCCACGGGACACAGCCCCCCACCGAGAACTGTCTTTGTCCAATCGTGAGCCGTTGGGGATGCTGTCCTGGTGTTTGCAGATGTTCTGTGTTTGTGGCCCCGGAGCAGCAAGGCCCTGGACTCACTGAACAGGAAGCAATTAAGATGAGGACCAAGTGGTGATGGTTAACCGCCAGGAGCACTTTCCAGCAGGAGGGAGTAGACCTCATTCTTCCTGATGGCCACGGAGCTCAGAGCCCTGGACTCAGCTGCACAGAATGACGTGCTCCTGCGCAGGCCTCAGCTTCTCAGACCCCCCGCCCCCGCCGCCCCCGGCCCCCGGCCCCGCCCCCGCCCCCTGCGCGTCAGGTCCCCGGTGTGGTTGGGCTGGCTCAGCACTGCTGTGGTCAGTGGGGGTGCACCTGCCTGGAGACTCCAGGGGTGTTAAATTTATGACTATTGGATTGAACTAAAAACACATAGACAGCTTGATGTTTGTACAGATCCCATGGGGAAACCTTTGTAAGCCAAAGAATCTTCTGGCAAGGTGGATGAACCGTGCCTTATCTCACTTAAGCCCTCCTAATTTCTTGTACACGTTCAGAATGTGAGAATCCGGCTTTCTGAAATTGAGGCTCATGTAAACCTCAAGCAGGAGAGTTGGGAGACACGTTTGGACGCTACTTCAGGGGTGGGAATGCCCCTCACCCATAACCCTGTGATCGGCAGGGTGGGGTGGGGGGAGAAGGTTGAGAGCCAAATGCAAGTAAAAAGGCAAGACTTTGAGAAAAAAATAATTGTATTTGTAAAACTACTCATGATTTAAAAGCATGACTTATTTAAAATGGTTAAATTTATGTAATTATTAAAGTATATTAAATTGCAATTATATTTAATGTCTATATCAACATAATGAATTCATTAACATATCAATTTTTATGATCATTAAAATTATTTTTAAGTTGTTAACAACAGAAAACAAACTATAAACATGCTAAGGGATAGATTTCGCTTATAATAATAAATATATACTGTGCTGAGAAGAAGGAAACAAAGAATTGGAAGCGAAATAAGAACAAAAGACAAGAAGTCCTGGAAGAAAGGACCCAAATAACTGTTGACGGTTGGAAAACTACTCTTCCAAGCTGCTGAGGCTGCTGACCAGTTATGGAACTCCCAGGAAGCCATTAAACCTCTCTTTCTACCAGTTTCTTTGCCTATAAAAATGGGAATTAGAAAGCCAACCCTATTCATCTACCTTATATCTACCTCATATGCTGTTCAAAGGTCTTAGGGGATTCTTGTGAAATCATTGGAAAATTACAAAGTTCTATAAGACAGTAAAATAGTTATGATAATATAAATTTTAATAATATAAATGACAAAAGCATAGACCAGACAAAAGTAGGCGAAGAGTGTCCAAAGAATGGGAGAGTTGGAGGAGTGGTTCTGTTGGTTCTGCTTGCTTCATAGATGTGGCCATCAGAACACATTTTCTCCTGCTCTCTCTGCCCTTTGAAATTCAAATCATCTTTGTCATCTTTTGAATGGCTCTGATTGGCCTTATTTCCAACTTCAGGGTTTACATTTTAAATAAATGCTTGCGCTGACATGGATTTTGTTGAAGTGAAATATGTGAAGAAATTTTGAGATTTACATTGGCTTGACCATGAATTCCTGGACACTGAAAATTCCTTGTCCTTGACCTTTTATCAGAGATTGTTTTCTTCCCATCATAAGTGCCTCAACATTAGATTTGGGACCAGCATGTGTTTAATTATTCCAAGTCATATTTTTTATAGCCTAAGTGTAGGGATGGTGGTTCCAGGGAAGGATAGGGTGCAGCTATGAGCTGAACCTGAGGAAAGACAAGATCTCCTTGACCATGGGTTGCTCTGGTGTAGTGACTCTCAAACAGATTTCCTTTGGTCACTTCTTATGGTTCTCCAATAACTTAATGAAATCTGAATTCTTTTTTGTCGCAAACCAGCCCCTTGACAATCTTGCTGTAATCCCTTTTCCACTTAGTCCCCTAATAAGCCTAGGATAATACAGGATGATGCAGTGCAGCAGGCTTAAAGAGCAAACAGTCCAGATTGTATGTGGAGGATGGAGGGTGCTGGGGGGGAGCAGTCTCCAGGAAAAAACAACAATAATAAAATGATACACCATCTGATATGCTTAAGCATAAAAAGGTTGGTTAATAAATAATCTGATGGGGGAAAAATGAAGTCTCAGTATAAAGAAAGCAAACCAATGAAACCTACTGAAAAACAAAACATTTTGCAAGAATGAAAACATAATAGTAGATTACTTGGGTTTTGCAATGAGTATTATTCACAAGAACATACTAATGTCAGTACCTTTATTGATTTAGCTAACAATGGGATACAACTATTGGGAGGATGGCAAGAAAGGACGTGGGGGTAGGGAATGTAGGAGCACGAAATCTTCATCTAGCATAGCAGAAAATCAATAGATAATGTCCAAGTTTTTTTTTAATAGTTCCATAAACATACTACTTAGAACTCTAGAAATAAATATCACTCCCTTCAGTATACCAATTATAGAGGTCTGTCTTCATGTTCTAGATGCTCAGTTTAAAAATGTCTTGCTCTTCCAGGAAGCATTTATAGCTCATTACCAATCCCCAAGGCACAATATACACTCTTGTTAAGGTTCATTATTACAGATGATGGATGTTAATCCCTCTTTTGAGTCTTTTTTGAAATTTTTGAAAATTTTTTTATCAACTTCTTACAGGATTAAATTAGATGATCGTAATTTTTTACCTTATCATTGTATCATTGTAGGGACGACAAAGAAATCATCCCGAGATCACATGTCCATTTTGCCACTTTCTGGTTGTCCATTGCACTTACATTATTAGTACTCACCTGTCTATTCTGTGAGGCTCATTTCAGTTCAATGTGGTGGTATATCTTGAAAATTACTTTCAAGTAGTTGAAATGAATGGGGGTCCTTGTCATACACACACCCGCTGCCAGGTGTGGAACTGCTTCTCGGGCCTGTAAATGACACGAGGCATCTGACATGAACTTGATGATGATGTCAGTGACAACTCATACATAATGTGAGTCATTTAATTACTTTCAATATAAAAATTAAATACAGAAGTTCTAATATGCTTATCCTTTATTCTAGTGAGTTGTGTGTCATCCCCTCGCCCCCTCAGGGTCACAAGGTAAGTCCTTAAAGGGCTCACATCAATGTATTCACTTTTCAGTCTTTCCTAAAATGTCTCTGAGGCACCAAGGTGAGAGCGTGGACCATCAGGCACACTAAGGGAAAGAGGAACTTTGGCCAGTGCAAAGCAGGTAAGATAATTCCTTGAGTTCTTTTTTTCATTGTCACAATTTATGTGTATTTTGTTTTCCATTTAAGAACATTATACCTTTGCAGGTTTAATCAAACACATTTGCATCAAAGTCAGGTAATTATACTCAACTAATGAATCACTGAACTTTATAGCAAAAACTAATGATCTACTATAACTTGGCTAATTGAATTTTGAAGAAAAAAAGAAAGAAAAAAAAGGTAAATCTGACAAAAAGTGGTTTCTGGCAGAGGTCTGTGTTTAGCTTGTTGTTCAAGTACCTTGAATTTTTAAAGCACATTAGTAGGATAAAGGAGTAATGTTGACTTGAATTTATCACTGAAGAAAACCAGCTATTGACCAAAGTGTTCATCCACATGCTCCCTAGGAGCCTCTAGCTTCCCAGCAATATTAATAAGAACTCAAAGCTTCCAGGTAATAACTTTTAAAAGCTCCTCTTTTCACTATAGAATAACCATGGGTAGCCTTAAGGGTGGTTGGCTGCTTGTAATAACTCAGCAATTGAAAAAATGAGTGTAGAATATATAGTGAATGGGGGTGCAAAGGAGGACACGTATTTGTAGGAGAAAGCTGTTAATTGGAATACAAACCTTTTCCTCAAGACATGGACATAAATAATACAAGACAGAAGCTTAGAATTTCATAAATGAAGTGTGGATCCAGGGCTGTGGGATGTCGAGTGGGAGGGAGGAGTGCAAGTGGAGCCAAGGCATTACAATCTTGAAGGAGGAGGCGTTGCAGGTGACCTGGGGACAGGACTGAGAAATCCAGAGATGGGTAGAAGTAAGGAAGAGGCTGTACCACCAAGGGGCCACAGCAATGATTTCTGATATTTTTAAATGGGTAATTAAATAGTCATTTATTTGTATATTTCCAATCCATTTTCGTTCCCATAATTGACTACACATGATATGGTAAAAACACTTATTTATATATTCATCACAGTGGCAGTTTATTCTTCAAATACACCTGCAGCTATAAATGTAATTTTAAGGCATGATGCCAAAACTCGGAAATGCTAGTTGCTAGTTCTTAGGGGTTCTACTTTATACATATTGTTTGAATTAGACTCCTTTTTTTTTGTAGGAGCAAGGAAAATTAAATAGTACTAAACGGTTTATAGCAAAAAACAGTGGTCCCTGCCTTACCCCTCCACCTCCCATGCTTCTGGTTCTGATCCCCAGAGGCGATCACTTTAAATTCAACTGTTTTGTTTAAATGTTGACTTCTAGTTTTCTAAATAGTATGCTTGTGTGAGTTTCTTAAAAGTAGAACCTTGCCTATTGATTTTCTTTTATGCTAAATGAAGATTTGGTGCTTGTGTATTCCCTTCCCCCACGTCTCTGGCCATCTTCCTAATACTTATGTCCCATTTTTAGTTAGGTCAATAAAGGTATTGACATTGGTATCTTCGTATAAATAATATTCACTGTAAAACCTAAGTAGTCTACTATTATTATGTTTCCTTGCTTGCAAAATGTTTTGTTTTCCTGGGCTTACAATTGCCTTGTCCATTTTTCCCTTTATAGTTTTCTATATGAGGAAGTCTTGATCTTCTCCTGTAAAGTTGTTTATGTATCAACCAATTTTTTAAGATACGTAAGCATATCGGATAGTCTTTTTTTATTGCTTTCCTTTTTTTTCTTGGAAACCTTCCTCCCGACATTCTCCATCTTCCTCATGCAATCTAATCTGGTTGCTTCTTCACCCAGCTACATAGTGTCATCCTCTGTTACTTTGCTGAGTTGGACTCTCTGTTTTCTGGGTGTTCTGTTCTCTTTTTTCTCCAGATTACTCTTTGGTTTTTCTGCCACGTTCTGCCATAGTCAGTCTCCCGTGGTCCCCAAAGATCCATGCTGCCTGAGGTTTTTGCTCTTATGGAGTCCCCTCCTCCACTGAATCAGGGCACACCTGAATTGAATGCAGTAAAAGGGACGATGTGTCACTTCCGAGGCTAAGTCACGAAGGGCACTGCGGCTCCTGCCTAACTCTCTCGGATCCCGCTGGCTCTGTGGGAAGTCAGCTACCATGTCACAAAATACCCAGCCTGTGATGGGGAGGTAGTGCAAAAGTTCATTTGTTTCCAGGGCTGGCTGCGGGGCAGCAGCAAAGAAACCGGTAAGAGAATTTTTCATTTCAATTTTGCACTGAGTTAATATCCTTAGATTTGTTGAACATTGAACACATGAATTCACCCTAGTTTTATATGTATTTATTCATTTCTGGGCAAGTCTAAGGAGCTGGGCCATCGTTCAATTGCCCTTGGGCACCATTTGACCTCGCTAAGTCACTGACGATTGTCATAATTTAGTGAGCTGAGCCAAAGACGCACTTCTTTCATTTGGATCTACTTAGCTGCTAATGGCATTAAAAGCAAGCTTATAAATCAAGTCACTGTATCACAAAATGTAAATCAAGATTTTCAGAAACCAAGTATATATAATCAGAGTGCTCTGACAGAAAATGGGGTTTCTCGTTGGTGATAGGTCAAGGGCTCTTGGCACCACTAATAAAACAATTTATTTAAATTGTTTATTTTGTCTTTATCTTGTACTTTCCCATCTTCTTTATGTTTCATAATGGGTACAGTATGTTCATGGACTAATAATACATTTACAGAATCTGTTAATAAATATATACACCTATATTTGGGGTGTGCGTTCAAAATTTTGTAACTGACAAGCATGCAAGGTCAAAAAAGTTTGCAGAGCACTGATATCATGAAGTATCCCTTTTCAAGAACTGCTCAGGAGAGGGATTGCTTGGGGACTGCTCTCCAGGCTGGCCCAGCAAACAACCACACTGTGGCCCTTCATGCTCCCCCTTGCTCACAGCTGTGGTCTTAAGATCCAGTGTGGGTTTTGCATATTTTATCTTGTTCTATGAGGTAAATACTTATCCCCATTTTCCAGATGAGGACACTGTGACTCTCTGGGCTAAGTAAATGGCACCACATTATATAACTGTAAGTGGCAGAGTCTGCATTTGAAACCCAGACCAGACTGACTCCAAAGCATATGTTCCTTTTATCATTATGCTGGCCAGACCTTCCACACACGTGGCCTTTCTACAACTCCATTTTCACTTCATGAATCCTCTGCTTTACCATTCCTAAGATGTGCAACTCTTTTACACTTGAAAACTTGAAAAATCAGGCTGCGTCTGTGGCCAAGGGGCAGCCCTAACCAGTGGTCACTGTGCTTGTGCACGCTTCGCCGGCATTCTGGGATCGAGTCTGGCCTCTTGCAGCCACTCATAGTTTCGGACCACAGCAATTTAACGAATTCTGTGTATTGAGAAACATGACCTTTTCCCCAAGTTTAACATTTGCACTCCCTTCAGCCAGGGAGATACGGTGTCTCTAGCAAATCGTGCCCGGTTCTCTTCACACCTTTGTTTCTGCTCTTTCTTCTATCGGGAACATCCTTCTCTCATTTTCTTCCTGGTTGGCAGTTTTCCAAACTTCAGTTCAAGCCTCACCTTCTCAGAGATGCCTTCTGACAGCCTCTGACATGTTTCTCCCTCGTCAGCCTCACCATTATTCTTGTTGCTCTTGGAGATCAGGGCTTCAGCCACCTCTGTGAACATTAGCATACAGAACTTTGCATAGGGTGGTCAATATATGCAGCAAATGTTTGTTGAATGAATACATGAGCAAATGAATTAATGAAGGCAGCATTTCCAGGGGATGGAGATGGTGGCCATCACGGTGGGGCCAAGACCAGCTGGAGATCTATGCAGTCATCTTTAGTCTGGAAGCAGCACTGTGCAGTAGAGGGCACTCAGCCTTTGGGGGAAAAAAAAAACAAAACAAAACAATAAGAAAAAAACACTGAGTTTGAGTCTCAGCATGGGCAGTCACCAAAGTGAGACCATTTTTCTCTCCCAGGCTGGTAGCTGGAGGCCTCCTGTGGGAGCTGGTGGGCAGGAAAGGACAAATGGAACTCACAATTGTGGGGCGCCACTGAAGCTTGATGGGGGTGAGCACCATTGGACACTCACCCTCATGCCACTGGTGGCCATGCAGTAGGCGCAAAAAGAAAAAGGAAGCAGGCTGGCTTCCGGGAAGAGAAGCGTCTTCCTAGCGCCCTCTACTGGCAAGGTTCAGCACCATACCGGCAGCAAAGGAGAAAAGCTTACCTAAGAGCCCAGTTCTGTGGCCCAGCAAGCCATGGAAGGAGAATTTAGAGTTGAGGGGCAATAAACTGATAAATGGCATACCCCTCCTTTCCTTAAATGTATTGAAAGAATGTACAACGAAATGTATAGTTTCGAGAAGGATTCATTTCCTCCCAGAAAGTAGCCAGAGGCTAGTGGCCACATGGGAGAGAATTTATTCTCACAGGGGTTCTTAACATTTTTAGCTGTTGGTACGTGGTGAAGCCTGTCTGTCTCTTCTCAAGATAAGGTTTTAAAATACGTAATCTAGGGATGCTTGAGTGGCTCATTCAGTTGAGCATCTGTCTTTGGCTCGGGTCATGATCTCAGGGTCCTGGGATGGAGCCCCATATCGGGCTCCCTGCGGAGCAGGGAGCCCACTTCTCCCTCTGCCTGCTGCTCTCCTTGCTTGTGTGTACTCGCTCTCTCTCTCTGAAATAAATATTTTTAAAAATTAAAAAATACATAATCTAAAATGCATAGAACTACAAAGAAACCAATTACATTGAAATACAGTAATAAAAATACTTTTTATTTTTTTAAGTTTTTTTATTTATTTATTTGAGAGAGAGAGAAAGAGAGCACGCACAGAGGGAGAGGGAGAGGGAGAGGGTGAAGCAGACTCCCTTCTGGGGAGAGAGCCCAATACAGAGCTCGATCCCAGGATGTTGAGATCATGACCTGAGCGGAAGGCAGACACTTAACCAACTGAGCCACCCAGGTGCCCTGTAAAAAATACTTTTTAAATAACTAAGTTTGTCATATAGTTTGCTGGTTAATTTTATGTGTCAACTTGACTGGATCATGGAGTACCCAGATGCT